TCAACTAGTGACCCTGATGAAAGAAGGATATCGATATAGAGATGTAGGTGCGAGACTTTATTGTCAAGTAGTTTCAAAAAATATATATTTTTTTTATACTCCAACCACCACGAAGGCCTAAGGCCTAAGCACCCATTATGTACCGTGGGGCTCTGGGGAATACATAGGAAAGGGGGAACGCCACACGGACTCTGGCGAGGGAACACGTGTGCATGCAACATGCACACATTTTGGCTCCGCCTACGAGATCCGCCGGGTGGTACCTCCGCGTTCGACAGTCAGAGACCGTTCACCACCTACGGACAATCACAATATCCATAGCCAAGAGAAAAATTTCTCCTGGGACGGGACTCGAACCCGCACAGCACACGGCGACTGATCAGGAGACCGAAGAGTCTGCTACTGCGGCCACCGCTGCTGCCTAAACCTACTTGACTTGATGAATCCTTCTCTGTCTCCATGACTAGACCTAACACCTATATCGCACTGATAAGTTGCTAATGAGCACGAAACATCACTGTCTGCTGTTGGTTATAGTTACAGGAGACGGAAAACAAACATGTCCTTTTCATCACGCTTCTATTTGAGATGAAAGAAGCTCTTTCATTATCGTTCAAATATTTTCAATCGAAAAACATTCATTTCAAATTTTAGTCCGTTTTATTATCAGCTGAATAAGAGCTTGTTTTTAAAAATGTTTTTTCTTTATTTATTTATTGAATAGTCGGACTACCAGTAAACACTGTAACCACGCACATTTACAGCGAGTTCTCGAGTCATATTTTACAGATAGACCGTACTGGGTTCTTACAGGAGGGTGGATCTTCTTTGCCGGAATATCTCCGTTCATTCATTACGAGTACATGGACCGTAATCAAAAGCTTTCACACAATAAGACAGTATCTTTTACAACCATTTTAGATGGCCAATAACATAATCGTGAAACGTACCGTTATAGTTGTGCAGTTAGTTTTCTCGCGTGTAAATACGACTATAAAGTATAAAGTGGATGCAGCAATTACCATGTAGTCACGCAACGCTAGAGATGTCCAAAACAATCAACATGGAGATATTTATAGTAGACACGTTAAATGGTAGTTGTTTATCTGACAGTTAACTGATTCAGAAAAATTGCGTGAGGTTTGAGTGGGCGAGTATTGGTATTAGTTATAAATATGACTGGACAAGCTACTGCAAGTGCAAGATTGATAGACATGGTATTAGTCATGTTGTAGCGTTGCACAAATTGGCATCACCACAGACGGATTCACGAGTTCCTCAACTTAGATGATCTGTCTTGTTAATACGAATTATGGCATAACCCGAGCTGAAATTGAGATAGTAATAATAATATATTCGGTATGTTACTTGCTGTCACTACGTAGAATGAATGAATTTGTAGTAATGGAAACTACACATAGTAGATTTTTCTGATTTTTTTTTAAAAGTACACGATTTAGATATTTTTAATATTTTTCTGATAAGTATAATGACTAGGCATAACCCCCGTTTCCGACTTAACGTTGGCTTCTGAGATTTCCTGACTAGAAGATATTTTACATTAACTGAAATTAATAACATATGAATAAACAAAAAAGTACGCTGAATAAGGGACATTTAGGTTTTAATTATTAACAGTGATACGATATACAGGGTGACTTTGAAGTTGAGTCATTAATTTTCAAATAATGATTGTAGAAGGAAGATAAACCAAAATATGTGTGTAAAAATAAAAAAAAAAATAAAAAAAATTTTTTACCTTGTTTTATAAAGTATCCTCCCGACAAGTATTTCAGTGCGGACCCGTATTTGATCGTGAGGTCCCCTGTGAGGTCTTAAGTCACCTGATTCACGAGCCCGTTGTACTACATTAACAAAGGCACGAGGGGTTGGTTGCACTCGATTGGGAAACCGATCCGCATAAACATGTGCCATTTTTATTTCGTTTGAGCCACGCAACAAACACTATTCACACGCGTTACCGACTGACACTGACTGTATGTATAACTGAACTGAATAAAATAATTGTAAAAACATCGTTCCAAATTCTTTCGCTTTTTTGTTTCCGATGCGATGAACCGATAAGGCGGATTATATCCGTTGTTGCCAAACACGAGCACATGATATTATTATTAAGACAGGGCGGTACTCAAACTTCCAAAGGGCTATAACTTTGTTACTTTAATTTTACAAGAAAAATGGTAAAGGAAAAAAACATTTCTTTTGATCAGATCTACTCACTGTTAAAATAAATGACTCAACTTCGAAGTCACCTGTATTTTACACATACACAAATAAAAAAAATACATTTGAAGGACGATAGTGATTGATTGTATAGGATTATGGACTGTTAAGTGCATTTATGACGCATATTGTCTATTTCACATCATCGATTTTATCTATTAATGTCTCAATCGAGGATTGGATTTGTCATAATTATGTAGTTTGCTGTCCCATTATGTTAGATAGTTGTTTTTTTATATCAGTCGCATCGCATGAACAAGTTTTACAGCGCCCTGTATGTGTGGGCTATTAAATCAGCATAAATCGTTACAAAAAGTCGTAAAAGCCTGAGTGAAAGTGTATATTATAAAATCATACGTAAAAGAAACTATCAACATATCGATTAGATTTGGAGATGAGAGATGTTTATATAATAGCAACTTTCACGTTAGCGATTCATGTTTGACTCTTCCTAGGAATGTGTGTATCGTTCTTTGCAAGTTCAAGTACACATTTTTTTCTGGTGAGGAGTTCTAGACTGAAAATCGTTGTACTCGTAATAGAGAATAGAATAGACATTTCATATATAATAATTTTCCACATAAATTTGCCTTTAAAACTAAAATGTTTTCGGTATGCATCTTTGCTTCCACTATTTGGGTAGGCGGTAGTACGGATAGGGTAGATAAAGAATAAATAAGGTCAAACTGAATGGGCCTGTTTGACTGACTTGTTCCTTTTAATTTCACTGTTTAGATGTTTGTAACTAACTTTTTTCTCGAAGGGTCTAACTTGTTCTGTATTATATACTACGTGACATATAAATCCGAACACCCGGTTTAAATGGTTTTATTTTTAATAAAATTTTGTATAAGTACTTAATGAAGCATAATAAGTAAATGATAAAAATTTCAAAATGATTGCACTGCTTTAAAGCCCTTTGACCTTAAATAATGTGTGGATGCACCCTGATGTGCTACGCATTCTCCAACGCGCCTAGGCATGCTTCTGATCAGGTGGTCAATGTCCTCCCGTGGTATCTCATTCCAGGCAACCACCAATTCCTCTCGAAGTGCTTCTAGAGTCTGAGGAGGACGTTGCAAATTGAGCAATCTCCTACCCATCATATCCCACACGTGCTCAATTGGGGATAAGTCGGGAGATCTTGGTGGCCATGGTAACAATGTGACATCATTATGTTGAAAGAAGTCTATTGTGACTCTTGCAACATGTGGTCGGGCATTATCTTGTTGGAAAGTTGGATCTGCCAGGGTGTCAAGATAGATAGGGTAAAAGATGGGGTTCTAGAACTTCGTGGATATAACGCTGCGCGTTCATGTTACCTCTGATGAAGATTAAAGGTAACCTGGAACCATAAGCTATAGCACCCCAAACCATAACTCCAACAGTGTGATGAACATGTCTTTCAACAAAAAACTGTGGATTCCTCCTTTCACCACGTCGCCTTCTAACCCTGGCACGACCATCGTGCATGCCTAAACAAAATCGAGACTCGTCAAGACAATACTGTTCCATTCCTGATCCCAGAGTGACCGTTGTCTGCACCACTCAAGGCGATTACGTCGGTGTTCTTGAGTTAAAGGGAGGACCCAGTGTGGTCGGTATGAAAACAAGCCAAAACTTCTCATGCGTCGGTAAACACTTCGCATGCCAATAGGTCTTCCGTGTTCTGCAAACCTTTCATTTGCAATGGACCTGGTAGTGGAGAAACGGTCCCTTAAGGCCAATAATCTTAGGCGGCGATCTTCACGGTCTGTTGTTCTACGGCGGCGTCCAGTGCCCCTTGCTCTTTGCGTACGGCCTTTTCGAAGCCTTGCTTGACAACACCTAACCACAGTGTCTACACTTTTTTGCACTCTAACGGCCCCTATCAAACTTACTAAGTTGACGAAATCGTACAGGTCTTCGTACTCTAGGCATCGTAACCGATCGTAAAGGATGTCAAGAACCAAAATCCGCCAACGTTGATTCTTTACTGCGGCTGAAATATTCATTTTTAGAGCGTTAGTGAATTAAAAAAAGCAGTATAAAAACCGGAATGTCCAACTGATAAGGCTGAAAATTTTTTACTTGTTATTTACAGTAAGACAAATACATTCACCAACTTTTATTAAAATAAAACCATTTAAACTGGGTGTTCGGATTTATATGTCACTTAGTATATTTTGAGTTACAAAAATTTCAATTTTTAATATTTAATTTTTGTTAACGGTCTATAATAAATGTTTTTTTTTGCTTTGAGTTTATTTCTGTTATAAAAAACAAATAATTATCTTCCTACTCTTATGAGCGCCAGCTGGCACACAGGAAACCGATTTGTAAGTCAGTGCCGTCGGCTTTTAGAAGAGCCACAAAAATCCTGTAATTAAAAAACATTTTACGAAAATACGTGAATAACTGATTTTACGAAGTTATACTTCCAAAATAAATTAACCATTAAACAACTAATAATTGGCTCCTGGGTAAAACCAACCGAAAAAAGGTGGCAGTCAGCGTGTTAACACCAGTAAATTAAAGGGCAATAACTAAAAATATCTGTACTATATACCTACTTAGCTCTCAGAAACTGTTTTCTTCGCAAAAACTAAAAGATAACATTTTAACAAAGGTAAACAAAAACAAAGATAACATGTTGAAATTGTTGCCACATAACTCTGATGAAGCCTGACTTCGTGCCAGACCAACAATTGAGAATCTAGGAAAAGGGAGTAGGACAGAAACATTAATAGGATGAGAAGTTCTTGAATAAAAGAGAGTTTTAAGCAACAGTAGTTTATATTTCAAATTTATTTACATCTAAGAAAAATTTTTATACACCGGACAGACTAAACGACACATTTAGACCTCTTCCTTGTCCTTCGGCGTCTTTTCATCAGCTTCCTTACCCTGCGCCTTCTCCTGGTCCCGCTGCGCCCGCGTCGCTTCCTCCTGGCACGGCTTCTACTCCTTCCTCTCTTACTTTTACAAGCCTCGGCGTAATATTTCTGTTTGTCCCTCCGTGACATTTTACACCAACATTTTGCGCCTTCAACCGCCACTCGCGTTACCCTCCATTTGCAGTGCTTCTTTCTGAACCGACGGAGGTAGTTCAGGAAGGGATTCCTGGTGATCGGTCCCTGACGATGGCAGCTCTTACGGGACGATCTCCTACGACTCCTACTTCGGCGACGTCCATAACTACTGCAACTGCGTCTTCTTCGACGCCGCACGTACATTAAACAAACGGAAAATTTTGAATAATACTCAAAAATATTAGATTTCACTTCACTTTGATAATTTGGATGTTGCTTAGATGACAAGATGAATGTAACAAACTTTTTTGTTTTCGTTGTCATAGTTTCCAAATCTTACTCTATGCGTAGCAGTTAAGAGAAGACGACTAAGCGAACATACTTGTAATGGACAGGGGGTAAAATGTAAATACAGCAGACGCTCGATAATGTAAACTAATTTAATCCAAGTGTGGTTCACATTATCGAAATGTTTACATTAACGAACGAGATTTATATAATATTTGATTTATTAAAAGAAACGTTTAATACATACTATTTATAACAAAATAAACAAATATTCTAACAGCGATAAGTATTTAATTAGAAGAAAAATAATTAACAATTTTTGTCTGCGTAAATTTGCGCTTGGCATTGTCTTCCAATGCCTGCGCCCGTAATTTACGAAGAACTAGAATATCCGTGTATGAAACTTCTTTTCTTTCAGCCCAATCTAAAGCTTGGTTAAAAACTTGTATAGCTTGCGCGTCAGTCACTACACTTCTGACTTCAATGGGATCGTTCTCATCATCCTCACTGTCCATATCCTCCTCCTTATCAGCATCATTCGTCTGCTTATCTTCGTTCCATAAATTAATATCAGCAGGAGTGCAAACAATGTTGGGATTCACTGTTTTCAATAAATCAACAACATCCAATGACACACTACTAACATTATATTATTGGATCGCAAACGTTCTCTAATTACGCTTAAGGGGACATCGTCTTCTTCATCATCGTCATTATTGGTACAAAAGAGATTGTTCCAACATTTTTGAATAGTTTGCTGGTTAAGTTCATTCCAGGCCATATGTAAATCTGAAACAGCTTCTCGTAATGTTACTTTTTTTAAAGCCTCAGATAAGTTTTCAGGATTCTTTGATAAGACAGACGAAAGTAGAAACTTCCTATAGTATAGTTTGGTCAGTCTTATTATATTCTGGTCCATCGGTTGAATTAACGGTGTTACGTTGGGCGGCATGTACATGACGAAAATTGACCCATCCCTGCTCCTCAGTTGTTGCTCGGGAGGATAACTTGGTGCATTATCCAATAGTAACAACGCTTTTATTGGAATCTTCTGTTGTTTTAGGAAACCTTTTACCTACAAATTGAAAACACATCTTCAAATTATGAATAGAGCATTTGTGAGAATTGATTGTCATACCTGAGGGACAAAGCACCTGTGGAACCATTTCAGGAATATACTGCTAGTCATCCAAGCGGTTTTTGAACAGTCATAATCAACAGGGATATTAACATTTTTAAATGATAGCGGATTTTTTGCTTTCCCAATTACCAGTGGCTTTATTTTATGTGAACCATTAGCATTAGCGCAGGCTAGAAACGTTATTCGTTGTTTCTCCGGCTTTCTTCCCGGGAAAGATTTTTCAAATGATGCAGCATAGGTTTTCTCTGGTAACATTTTCCAGTAAAGGCAACTTTCATCTGCGTTGTAAATTTGTTCCATTCTTAAATCTAGCTAGGTAATTGTTTTTATCAATTTTTCTTTGAATGGTTGCACTAATTGTGGTTGTGCTGATAATTTTTCACCAGATATAGACAGCAAAACTATTTAGAATTTCTTGACTTTACAAATAAAAAAAATTTATGTGAATCTTTGGTAATGTCCAAAATTAGTTATTGCGATTTAGTTTATCTTCCATTTCTTGACTCAATATCTCTAGCACGTCCCCAAAAAATCAAAGACTCATGTTGTAGGTTAATCAATAATTTGAAAAAATATGATCATGTCAGCCCTTTTTTCAATGACATGAAGTGGTTGAGAGTAAATGAACTGTGTGAGCTACACTTAGTTACTTACACCCACAGGCTTTTGATATCATCCATTCTGCCGTTTTTGATAAATAAGCAGATATCTACACTACAGCAGTATCCATTCTAGGGACATTCGATTCACTGAAACACTCACAATGTCCCTTCACAGGACATCATTCTTTCGTAAATGCTTCACCTACAACGCAATTATTTTTTGCTCTACCTCGATCCACAAAATCGCTATCATATGATGAATTTAAAAGACATGAAAAAGATTATTTTGAATAGATGTATATAAATTAGTTGATAAAATTTATATGTCACCTCCAAAAACATATTTCCAGTATAGCATTCCTTTGTTTTGTAACTGTTACAATTTTATACTTTTAAATCATGAAATATTGAATAGCCTTCACTTATACAGGGTGACTTCGAAGTTGAGTCATTTATTTTAACAGTGAGTAGATCTGATCAAAAGAAAAGTTTTTTTCCTTTACCATTTTTCTGGTAAAATTAAAGTAACAAAGTTATAGCCCTTTGGAAGTTTGAGTACCGCCCTGTCTCAATAATAATATTATGTGCTCGTGTTTGAAAACAACGGATATAATCCGCCTTATCAGTTCATCGCATCGGAAACAAAAAAGCGAAAGAATTTGGAACGATGTTTTTACAATTATTTTATTCAGTTATATACAGTCAGTGTCAGTCGGTAACGCGTGAGTGAATAGTGGTGTCTGTTGCGTGGCTCAAACGAAATAAAAAATGGCACATGTTTATGCGGATCGGTTTCCCAATCGAGTGCAACCAACCCCTCGTGCCTTTGTTAATGTAGTACAATGGGCTCGTGAATCAGGTGACTTAAGACCTCACAGGTGACGGCATCCCGGTGCTCCAAGACCTCACGATCAAATACAGGTCCGCACTGAAATACTTGTCGGGAGGATACTTTATAAAACAAGGTAAAAAAATTTTTTTTTTATTTTTACACACATATTTTCGTTTATCTTCCTTCTACAATCATTATCTGAAAATTATTGACTCAACTTCAAAGTTCAAATGTTATATACATCATATTTATTTTATATACCTACATTTTTAAACTTCTAACTTATGAAATGTATTTATGTTTTTTGTATTGTTTTTTCAGTTTTTTTTTTGTTGGGTTAAGTGGTATAGTAGCGTTATGCTAAACTTCGCTCCCTAAATAAAGACGATTTATTATTATTATTATTATTATTTATATACAGGGTGCCTCAAATTCGACCCTCACCATTGAGATCTCGAAACTGTGAGAGGTACGCAGTCGCTTAAATGGGGGCAAAGTTGCGTATTTAGGTAATCAACAAAGTACTTCCGGAGAGAGACGGAAAAGAACGAATTTTCCCAAAATCGTTTTAACTTTTTTCCTAATTTTATTTCTACTGGTATTTCAAAATAACTTGCACATTAATATTGCCACTTTTTCTGTCTGTAACACTTCTAATATCACTGAGTATACAGGCGAAAGGTTGGGAAATCTCGAAACTGGAGATACTACATGTCAAAATATGTGAACTGACCTAAACATACCTCAGTCCAAAAGTTGATAGTTTGCGAGTCAAAGTTACAATTTTATTTTATATTTTTCCTTATTGCTTGAGAAGTATTCCAGATTTTGGCATAAAACTCGGTATAGGGAGGTTTCTAGAGGGCGCTGCTTACAGCACTATTTCGGTAAATAATAAGTTATCTCAACTTTCTTGGGCTACCCTGTATACAACAACTGACCGAAAATTTTTATTTCCTCGTATTTCCACAACAAAAAAGGTTTACTTGTTAGTGTCTAAAGCTAATAGTTTACGAGATATTTGTTTTTAAAAGTTCCAATGCATTATTTGTACCATGATAATAAAACATTTTTATAACATAATAATCGTTGCTTTGGATAATATCTGAGTAGTGTTGCTATGGATTTTAACAATAACAAATGAGGATGGCAACAAAACTAATAAACGGAAATAATAACTACAAAAATTGTTCAAAATATGCATATGGATTTTTGGAACAAGTGAATTTTACGCAAGAGCTTGGTGGGTAATATTTTTATCTGTCAATCTACATTTTGTTACTGTGTACGGTATTCTGATACTATGTAATTTACCAACGCACCTCAGCTGATGTGCCGAACGTCGGATATTTGCATTTTGTTGCCAAAATTGAAAATACTCGGGTACGATGCGGGTACCGGAGTATCATGAAAAAAAAATCCGTGGGCGCGAAAACCCTAGTTTTGGTAGCTTGCTGTGGCGGTGGATAGATCTTGGGTTTTCAGTAAGTTGTATGAAAATTATTCCTGGACACACCTAAAAAATAAATATTCATCACAGCGGGCTTAATGAAGTGAAATTGCAGCTAATCGCATTAAATCATTGTAACTTTGTTGCGTTTATCTCGTTTTCAGCTTTTAAGATGACGCAACGCACTTACAAGACTTTCTTTGGCGCGATCAAGTTCCGTTCTTAACAATTACGGTACAGTCGTGTATGGAGTTGTTTATACTGTTTCGTAATTACGTTTATCGATTGAATAGCTTCACGGTTTTTTATTTCTTAGTGAGAATTGTAAAGCGGCTGCAACGCGGTAACGGACACACAGACTGTGAAAATTGTCTGTTGACGATATCTGTTGTTGTAGCGCTAAAAACCATCTGATAAAGTGGACTGTGATGAGAAATGGTTCCCAACTTTTGGGAGGAATCCATATTGTGATGAATTCGATTCAATTCAGGGTTCATGGGGGCTTTGAAAATTAAAGAGCGAGGGTGGGGTTGTCTACAAATTAAAAAAAACATTCATATTTTTGAAACTCGTACAAGGAGCTTCAAAAATATACCATTATCAATGTCTCTATGACAAATATATGGGGTTGTCCAAAACGGACGCAGGAAAGTAAACGCATATTAAAACAAGAAAGATTGATATTCAAATCAAGTTGGGTACTGTATTTTGAAGGTTCATTTATACCATTTATGTATGAAAAATAATATCGCTCAAATGTTCACCACGACTGGATTTACAGACGTCCACGCGATGGTCGAAATTTTCAATGACATTTTGCAACATGGTCGGTTATATGGCATTTATCTCGGCAATGATGTTGTTTTTGAGTTCTTGGAGGGTGGCAGGTTTGTTGACGTAGACTTTGCTTTTCAAATATCCCCATAAAAAGAAGTCCAAGGGAGTCAAATCGCACGATCTTGGTGGCCATGGCACATTTCGTCTGCGCGAAATCACGCGATCACCGAAGAAGGACTGCAATCGATGG